GAGAAAGCATGTCAGTAAACACCCATACTGCAGCTGTTTAGGTACAAACCCAAGTGCTACGGGTGGAAAGAAATGGGGGAGCTGAGGTGTCTTGTAGAACAGCTAGAGTAGAAGGAACCAAGACTGTTGTGTACCACTGTGCACTCAGCACGTGGCATGATGGCTGGCATATGACAGGGGTCAATAAACACATACTGAGCAAATAAATAACATATACAAGCAATAAAAATGAATGAGTGATATGATTCCTGCCCTACTGGAGCTCATAGCCTAGTTGGGGAGGCTAACTAATAAAGAAATGCATGGTGGTAAGACATAAGATGGCAGGGTACATTCAATATACTCTAAAGGGTACATGGGTAGGAACTATTAACTCAGCTTAGAGAAGGGTGAGGGAAGACTTCAGACAGGGAAGTGACACTTAGCTGAGACTGAAAGGATAATTAGAGATGAGTCCAGATGAGACGCAGGGGTCAGGCCATGGTGCAGGTAGATGAAGCATGGGGCCCACTGCTGGTGGGGGCCGCTAGAGAACCAGAGCTGACAGTGTGGAACCAAGCATCAAACGCTGTGTCACAGAGCACAGGGCCCTATGAAAGGATAAGATAGAGAGCACTGGTTGGCACATAGTAGGTTGTCAGTGGACGTTGGTAGAAGGAACGCCTGCTGGATTACTAAAGGCAATTTAGAACAGATTTGAGTGGGTCTTGAAATGTAAAAACAACAGTCTCAATGGAAGGCAATATGTTAATATAGGTCATAATTAATATTTAAGAGAAGATAGTCACCAATGATATGGATCACTCAGGAAGAGCAGAAGCCTGGTGGATAAAAAGGTATGTCAGCTGGGCGCAATAGCTCACGCCTGTAAGCCCAGCACTTTGGGAGGCTGAGGCAGGTGGATTGCTTGAGGCCAGGAGTTCGAGACCAGCCTGACCAACACGGCAAATCCCCATCTCTACTAAAAATACAAAAATTAGCTGGGCATGGTTGCGGTCGCCTGTAATCCCAGTTACTCAGGAGGCTAAGGCAGGAGAATCACTTGAACCTGAGAGGCAGAGGTTGCAGTGACCCAAGATTGCACCATTGCAGTGCAGCCTGGGTGACAGAGTGAGACTCCGTTTCAAAAAAAAAAAAAAAAAAAAGAGGTACGTCCAACACTCCAGCAGGCCATGCTGTCTGGCCCTGCCATGATGGGTGGGAGGAAGGAGAAGCAGGGGGAAAGACACCTCTTGACTTATTTGGTTGCTATGTGGAGGCTGCCTGGGCTCTGCCTGCCTAGCGACTGCTGCCCCTGCCTCCTGGTGGAGTGCTGGCCTTGGGAGGTGCTCCCAGGAATGTTGATCACGAAGGAAGGTAGCTTTGCTTGTGGTCTGCCAAGGTGAAAGCTTGGGTCTCAAACATCTGACGCTCCTTGTTTCATCTTTGTCCCAGGACAAAAATCACCAGGACTTTGCAGTCTCCAGCAGTCTGCAAGGCTGGGGAATTCAAACTGAGTGAGTGTCTGCCTGGAAAATGTTTGTCCAGGTGGAACTGGTGACTGGGAGCAAACACTCTGGGTAGTTTTAAAAGACAAAAAGACAGAGCGGAGCAGTCTTGGGGAACGTGGGAGGCATGGGACAGCCCCCTTCTGTGCTCTGGAGAAGGACAAAGGATGTGAATGATGTTTGAGTTTCTCTTTTTTTAAAACCCTAACCCTCACCACGCCACCCTGCATATTGCCCACATGTCTCATCCTAGTGGTCACAACCATGGCAGAGGAGGTCGAAAGCATCAATAGTTAATAAAAATAGCTAAGCTTCTACTGAGCTAGCTGTTGTTCTAAAGCCTTTACATTGACTCATTCGGTCCTTTCAATAACTCTGAGGTAGGTTCTTTTCCCATCCCCATTGTACACATGGAGACCAGAGCTCAGAGAGGTGAAGCGATTTGCTCAAGGTCACACAGACAGGAAGTCTCAGAGCCACGATTGGAAGCAGGTCGTGTGGCTCCTGAAATCACATGCTCTTGGGGTGACTCTGAGGCAGACAGTGGAGGAAGACTCCTAAGTCTGAGGAAACCAGTGAAGACTGTGGCCAAGAAGTAGCTGTTGAAGCTGTGTTCACTGACAGGTTCAGAGAGCTCCTGATTTGGGTGCCAGGAGCATCCTGGCTGTGTCATGTGGGTAAAATGCACTCAGTAAATATCATACACTTGCAAAACCTTTTTTTTTCTCATTGGTGTGGTGGGAAAATGATCACTAATCCACAGTAACATGAGGAATGAATGAAGGAGAATGTGCAAAGTGCCCGATGCATACATAGTAGGTGCCAATAAATGTGCTCCTTCTCTCCTTGGTAAAGTTGGCTTCAGGCTAGACTCAGTCACCCTTTCCACAAATATATGTGGAGGGAACAGGCTGGAGCAACATGGTTGGGAGTGGGGAAATGACCCAGGGTGATCAGAAGATAAAAATAGATTTTAACTAACCCGTAAGAACCCAGTGCCGGATAAATGAGAGTTAGCTTCAAAGCAATAGCCTTAGGTGGGTGCACTGTTGTTCCAGAGATGCTGATGCTACACCAAACACTGATGTCAGCCCTTGGATTCTCCCCTCAGGCCAGGCCTGGTGGGATTCCCATGTTGGGGGTGCTAGGGCAGGAGGCGACCTTTTAGGGAGACCAAGTCTCAGGGACAGGAACCACCTGGCAAAATCAAACAGCTACTCAGGGCAAGAGCAGAAGCTGGAGCTTTGATTTCTCCTCTGGAAGTCTCTTCCAACCGGTGAGCCTCTCATCCTTCCTTAGCCTCACATGCTACATTGGAGATAGACTATTCTGCTCTCACCTGAGGCCATGGTTTATTCAAGACTGGCTCAGAATGACTTTGGACTATTTGGACTATTTTCTAAGATAATTAAACCCACCTCAGGAGGAGGAAGCTGGGGATATCCAAGGGAATGTGCCCAAGCATTTGCCTGGCAGTGGCCAGGCTTGGAGTGGAAGCTGAGTGCACCATGATCACTGCCAAGTGCTAGCATTTGGTTTCTACATCAGCTTCACATAGAGGACAAGGGCCAGCCATCTTCTGGTGGAAGAAAAGGTCCGAGGCGAATTTTCTTTTTTTTTTTTTGAGATGGAGTTTCGCTTTTGTTGCCCAGGCTGGAGTGCAACTGCAGGATCTCAGCTCACCGCAACCTCTGCCTCTCTGGTCCAAGTGATTCTCCTGCCTTAGCCTTCAGAGTAGCTGGGATTACAGGCATGCACCACCGTGCTCAGTTAATTTTGTATTTTTAGTAGAGACAGGGTTTCATCATGTTGGTCAGGCTGGTCTCGAACTTCCAACCTCAGGTGATCTGCCCGCCTCGGCCTCCCAAAGTGTTTAGATTACAGGCGTGAGCCACCGC